GACTTAGCGTGGTAATTCAGAATTTCTGCGGTGGCGTCAGAAACCAGCAGCTGTCCAATTGGCAAATTTGAAATCAAATCCAAAATGTTCATGGATCTCGACCCTCTCAGTCACTCATTGTTTTTCGCTAGCGGGCCGTTGTTTAGAAGTAGTCTTCCAGGATTTTCCCCGCACGGAATATTTGTTATTAGGCAGGTTCATAAGTCGGGGATTCGAGTCCTTTTACTTCCACTAGTGTTGTGATGTGACTATGGCTATTGCTGCTTCTATTTCTATGGGTCTTGTGAAATCTACGGAAGAATATGGAAGAATGTATTTTCTGAGCCGGGGGACTTCCATATCTTGAGCTCAACTTGCTGGAGCTGCGGTTTTTGGGCAGTTTGGGAGGCAACACGAGTGCCTTTAGTATAGGGCTACATAAGGGCACTACGCGTGAACAGCATAGGGATTCCCACCCCTACTTCCCCTCAGCGGCACTTGTCAAGAGAAGAGCTTCCAATGTTGCTGCAGTTGAGCGACGGTCCGTGTCGCGCAGAATTGCTTTCTCTGTGGTTGGCTCGGGAGAAACCAGCTCTCATTCGGAGAGGGTAAAACTCGCCTTCCGGATGCCCTTTAAAGGGATAAACCTCGTTTCCGAGATCTGACCACATAGAAGAGCAAACGGTTTACGCTCCCTCAGCGCAAGGCTCGAATCGTCAAAGCAATCTCTTACCAATCCTGCGACACTGGCGGCACCTTCTGAGGCAAGGTGGGGAGGTTATATAGGTTTATGACATGGGCTTATATAGTATACTATAGTATATTGGGGTAATAAGGGGATGATGGAAAAATAGAAGCTACCATAATGGGTTTGCAAGCGCCTCGGGCATCGTTTGTGAAATTAGGCGTGTCCCGACGTCAGGGATGCAGTTCAGTACTCTGATGGCAACAGGTATCTTTGCGGCAGTTGGACTTAGCATGTGACTTCTCCACATGTGCATACATATAAATATATAGACATGTTTATCTCTCCTTGAAGGGCATCGTTGACTTGCCCTTGCAATCTGCTTACAGCTTACAGTTCCCAAAGGTGTTCCCAGTATAAGAAGCCTTCATATGGCAAGATAGTTAGAAGTCGGAGAGGTTGCACGGGATGCCATAAATAGCGAGAACGTTGTTTCTTCCAACTTTCTTTACCTTTATCTGACAAGGGCCCCAATTGAGTGTGTCTGCGGGGGAACCCTATCCGGGCCCGGGCCTTGGTGCCGTTGAAGGATGTGCAGAGTTCCTGAAATTCGCTGCAATAGAGGTCCCTGTAGTGTGGTTCCTTGGATTCCCATAACATGGGCTCCGTATAGCCTATAGACAGTTATAAAGGGATTGCATAGGGGAGTACTAAAGGGGTTGCTAAAGGGGGTACTAGGAGTTTGGGTTATAGCTCTAAACTTTCCCTCCATGTGGGAAGCAGTCATTTAGGCCAAGTCTCCTGTGTCCAGGGACCACAAATTGCACTCTAAACCCTGACCCTCATGGCCAGGCTCCACAGCAAGCGCCTGAACTCCCTGTGCAGTGGGCGGCCCCTGTCAGCTGAGCTGTCCTTGAAAAGCTGAAAGCTTCGACCGATGGTTAAAAAAATAGCCCGAGGTGGATATTGTTCTCGTGATTCTCTGGGGATATCAATGACACATGGAGAATCATGTGGAAAAGGAAATGGAGAATGAAATGGAAGTATAGACTGCAGGGCCCAAAGTAGGCATTAAGATGTATCAACTGGAAAGTTACATGGACGTATAGACTTCAAGGCCCAAAGGAGGTCTTAAGGGCATCAAAAGGAAGATGAGATGGACGTATAGACTTTGGGCCCAAAGTACATGTTAAGCATAGACTTCAAGGCCAAGAGTTGGTATTTTGATGTATTAAGAATAAGCTTGTTGCGCGGATTCCTTGCCTCTGGGGGGTGTGGCTACGCACGGAGCTTCAATTGAGGTATCCATATCTGTTTGTTTGTTGGGGGTTAGTAGGGAGTGAGTACTCCAGCAAAAAACTTATACCACAATGAAAATATTCAATATTGGGGGGGGGCAAGAGCATCCATTTTCTTTTTCCATTTCCCTATAAAATTCGGCCACTGGGAATGGGGGGTTTTGAGATTCGGGGGAGGGGACTCCTAAATCCTAAGACCCTAACACCCTAAAACCCGAAAACCCTAAACCCCAAAGACCGAAAACCCTGAACGAAGGAGATCTCCGGAGTAAGGGCAGGAAAGGTCATCTCCCAGGGCTTCTCACACTTTAGCCTAAGCCTTGATCTAAAGGGTTTAGGACTTATAGGGTTTAGGGCTTAGGGTTTAGGGCTGAGGGTTTAGGGCTTAGGGTTTAGGGCTTAGGGTTTAGGGTTTAGGGCTTCGGGCTTAGGGTTTAGGGTTTATAGGTCTAGGGCTTAGGGTTTAGGGCTTCGGGCTTAGGGTTTAGGGCTTAGGGTTCTTTTGGGCATGCAGCTGACCCTAAACCCCTAAACCCTGATGCCCACCTCAGTGCTCAAGCATTGGGATGGGCCTTCATGGGAGGATCAGTTACACAGAATTGCTGATGCGGGGTCCGATGCCTCTTAGGGTTTAGGGTTTGAGTTTGTGCGCCTCAGGCCCCCTCGTACAATTTCAGAATGTCTCCGCCGCGGATCGTTGCCCGATCTCAATCTCAGGAGCCGACCGACGAGGGCGAGAAAGAAGAGGATGAGGCCTGTGACGTTGCGACACGTAACCGTCGTCAGTTACGCCTTGAATTGTTTATATTTTCATAGACTGGCATATGTAGGACCAATTGGGAGATGTGGGATCCAATCGAGTCTATTGTAGCCTTCTTTACCTTACTGGGAATATGATCCCCGGCCTATGTAATTCCTATAAGATGTGTGGGTAATGTATTCCCTTATTCCCTACTAGCCCCAAGTAGCTTACATGGCAGAGACGGGGTCTTCAGTTTGAAAAATTGCCGCGTCTGTTGTTGCCCATTTTGGCCTCCTGGGTAGAAGGGTGTTGCGGTTGTCTTGTGCAATTCTGAACCCTAGTCAAGGATGAGCCAAGTGAATGGCTGTACTAATCATGGGTGGCATTTTCCCGCCTTTGGAATGAGTCGCAGCTCTGTGCCTACAAGGTCCTTCTGTAAGTAGCAGGCATTACGCCAGTAGAAGCATTGATAACTAATATTTGCAAACCTTG